AAGGGGCGGCCCCGGCCCCCCCCGCCTCTTCCGGCTCCTGTTCGAAGGGCGTCCAAGGGGAGGGGCTCTTCCTTCGCCTTCGTAGCTCTAGGAGGGGGGGAGGAGGAATGGCAGAATGGGGGGGGGAGTGAAAGGTTAGGCGACACCCTCGAGCTCTCCTTTGCACGTGGAAGTCTTTCCTGGGGGGTGTGAGGGGCAGGAAGGCTCCAAAGAGGAAAATGGACGGAGCCTCCGGGTTGCCCAAGTTCTTCCACTTCTGGTGGAAGGAAAAACTCAGACGAGACACAAGAGTTCCCGTCACCACAGTCTCTTCACAAGTAACGCAAGGAGAGAAAAGGAGACAAACGGGCAGAGCCTTTTCTGCGTCTTGAGTTCAAGAGCGCTCAGAGCAGGGAGTTCAGGCTCTCAGACCGACCCAGATTGTGCTTCTCTCCTTCCAAAGGGAGACTAACAACAGCTGAGGAGAAATGACGTCACATCAGCTCCTTCCATCATCTGCCTGCACAGCAGGACTCCTCACTTTGCCATCATTTATTCCAGCTCCTGAGCCATACAGTACATGTCTTTTTTGTTGTTAATAAATTCCAACTGCATTACAATATCAAAACCTTGACTGGCTCTTCCTTCACGGTCCTCATCGGTCCCGCACAGACCTATTTGATTTATGAAACTTCAGGGTGTGTGTGTGTGGATCGGGTACTTCAATCCTGGCAGCTGGACTTCTCCACTCGATCAGGATGAGGCCCATTTGCCAGGACTCACCTGCCCGAGAACCTCACCCGGAGGACGGAGAATCTTCCCCAATTGATGGGGGTCTGGACCATGACAGGGCACTCGACCCAGGTGGGGCCTCAAAGTGCTCTTGCAATGGGGCACCTGGTCTGTTCCCAAAGGGAGCGGCCATAAGGAAGGGACAATGGGTTTTTGGGGAAGGAAGGAAAAAAGTTTGCTTTGCCATGATTCTAGAAAAGGTTTGGGATCCTTAGTGCACGGTCTACCGGTGTGGCAACATATTTACTCTGCCCTGTTTCATGAAACCAGGAAACTCGGTTCAAGGAAACTTCATCTGGTGTCTCTTACATAAAAGCACAGCATGGAATTGGTTAGAAGAAAGGACTAAATGCACCATCCAGGGGAAAGAATTGGAGAACCCTCAGGCGGTGGTGGTGAAGTCACCTCCTCCATGCAAGTCCCTCCTGTTCCATGCAGAGTCTGAAGGTCTCCCTGTCAGGGACGCTGGAGCAGCAGCTTTTTTCTGCCAATGGAAAGAGGGTTGGACTAGATGACCTTTGGATTCCCTGA